ATATTATTCTTATATAAAGAGTTCCTGTAATCAATAAAATAAGGATAAATGTTTCATTAAATATATAAAGGTCAAAGAAAATAGCAAATTCACAAAATGTAAAACGCAAATGTCCAAGAAAACTATAAAATGAAATCTTAATTTAATAGGAATATAAATACTAAGGAGACTCCATTTTATAAAATGTTTAGATATTCAAAATTTTAGGGAAAATGCGCTCTTAAGTGAGGTAAATTTTTGCTCTGCCAGTGAGGGTATAAGTATTTCTGGGATACTTTTCCTTCAGATATGAGCAAATAAATGACAAAGATACTTAAGGATAATCAATTTAGTGGGTTGTTTTTGTGTTTGTAGACATAGGATCTTGCTATGTTCCCCAGGATGGACTATAGCTCCTAGGTTCAAGAGATCCTTTCTTTCAGATTCCTGAGTAGCTGGGACTATAGGTGTAAGCCACCACACCTTGCTTAATTAAAACTAAGAAATATGATAATGTTCCCCAATATAAAACTGGAGGGTTGGTGTGATGGCTCATGTCTGTAATCCCAGCACGTTGGGAGGCCAAGGTGGGAGGATCACTTCAGCCCAGGAGTTTGAGATCAGCCTGGGCAATATAACCAGACCCCGTCTCTACAAAAAAGAAGAAAAAAGGAAAAGAAAAGAAAGAAAAAAGAAATAGACAGATTTGGTCCCAGAAACCTGGGAGGGTGACGATGGAGGATCATTTGACCCCACGAATTCAAGGCCACAACAGAGCAAGACCCTGTCTCAAAAAGGAAACAAATTAGAACTGGAGGACACAGACATGTGCACAGGCACACATGAACAAAGATGTCGTGATTTATCCTCATGTGAAAATGAGGTTACAATATAGCACATATTTCATGTACATGGAGAAAACAAACGTGTGTGACTGTGTGTGTGTGCATGTGTCTGTGTGTGTGTGTGTGTGTGTGTGTGTATCTGTGTGTGAGTGTGTGTGAGTATGTGTGTGTTTGCAAAGTCCAGGTCTTTGGGTTATGTGTATGTGAGCATAATCTCAATATTTTCTGAGTTTTAACATTTTTATTTATCTCATTTTTAACCATAAAAATGTCAACTTTTATGCCTCCATGTTTATTTTTCTGATTACACAAATGGTACACCACTTTGAATAAACAAGAAACCACAGTAAAAAATAAAAAATAAGCAATAACCACTACTGTACTGAGTACACTTTTCACCTGCTCTGTGTCTACAGATTCTAAGTATGGCAATTGTTTTAACCTCATTCTCAAAGAACAGCTTGTATTCCTTTCTTGACTGCTCCCTTACCAGCCTTCCTGCTTTGTCAAGATCATTACATTACGGTCACATATTTTATTTTACGTAAAGTGACTATATAATTATTAACCAAATTGAAATTTCAGATTGTTCTCATTTACATCACATAAACCTGCTTCTTTTTATAACTGTTTCAGTAAAATTAAAAATAAAAATAAAAAAAAGATGAATAAGAATATGTGGAGTGCACAGGGCAGATAGTAAAGCATATGCCTGAGACGCTTTGGTCGGATGCCTGGATATGAATCTGGATCTTCCCTTGGGTTAGCTACTTATCTTTCTGTGCTAAAATGCCCTCGTTTGTAAAACAGGAAAATAACACCTAAGGTTGGGGTGTGGATGTTGAATACCTCTTCCTCAACATTGATGTTTTCTTCCCTAGAGAGGCAACTCCTCGAGGGAATGACTTCCGGCCTCACCACTCCCCGATACCCACTTTTTCTCGGGTTGAGAGGAGCCTGGATCAGATACACGACAGATAAATTAACCAGCCTGGAAGTTTGAAGAGGCTCCTTTTACCTACAATTCTCTCTTGGGAACAGGCCCGAGCAAAGAGAGCAAGTGCTCTTCATTGCTACCAGCCACCAGGCAGTGGGACAAGCTGACACCTGAGTGATATCCTGCCAAGACAGACACTACCCGTGTCCAGATGGGCATGTCCCTCTCATGCAGTTGCAAACCACATGCTCAATGGCAGTTTCTTCAACAAATTAAGGTGATGTCTGACTTACCCTATGCCTTACTGATGTTCTTGTTTCTCACTTAGTACAGAAGTACAGAAGGTAAGAGCGTTATTATTTAATGGGCTCCACCTACATACCTCCCACAGAGGATACTGTAACAAATAGATGTCTCACATGGTTTGAACTCAGTAAATGCTGTTTCTAATATGTCTATATCTACATTTATGTACACATATACACATATAAATATGCACACACGCGCGTGCATATGTACATGTTTTACATATGTGTATGTACACATAGATATTACTAATGCATATTAACCGTATTATATTACTTTAATTTATGTTGTCAATTTTTTTAACTTTTATTTTAGATTCAGGGGTATCAGTACAGGTTTGTTATATAGATAAGTTGCATCTCACTGGGGCTTGGTGTACAGATTATTTTGTCATCCAGGTAATAAGCATAGTGCTGGATAGCTTTTTGATTCTCATCCTTCTCCCACCCTCCACTCTGAGTAGGCCCCAGTGTCTCATGTTGAAAACTAAACATCAAGTACATAAAGACACACTTTACATCTTTGTGTACACATGTACTCAATGTTTAGCTTCCACTTATAAATAAGAACATGCCATATTTGATCTTCTGCTCCTTTATTAGTTTACTTAAGATAATGGCTCAATCCATGTTGCAGTAAAGGCCATGATCTTGTTATTTTATACAGCTACATGGTATTCCATGGTGTATATTTGCCACATTTTCTTTATTCTATCTACCACTGACTGGCATTTAGGTTGATTTCATATCTTCGCTATTGTGAATAGTGCTGCAATGAACATACGCGTGTATGTATCTTTATGGTAGAATGATTTACATTCCCTTGGGTATATACCTAATAATAGGATCATTGGGTAAAATAGTAATTCTGTTTTAAGTTCTTTGAGGAATCACCATACTGCTTTCCACAATGGCTGAACTAACTCACATTCCCACAAGCAGTGTATAAACATTCTCTCTTTTCTCCACAGCCTTGCCAATATCTGTTATTTTTTTGACCTTTTAGTAATAGACATTCTGACTGGTGTGAGACGGTGGTTCTCATTCTGGTTTTCATTTGCATTTCTCTAATGATAAGTAAAGTTGAGCATTTTTTGGATGCTTATTTTCAATATTTTTATATTGAAAATTTCTTTACATAACACTGGTCAAGGTTCACTAGAGGTATTGTAACAGAGACTAACCACCTGGCCTAAGGAAAAATCAAAGAAGCATCTAAGTGTCATGTCACTACCAAACTTTATGTGAGCATATGTGCACCAATGAAACATGAAAAATTTATGGAATAAAACTTTCCAAGAGACCGAAAGTATTCACTTCAGTGGTATAGAAATGCACTGCCTGCAGTGGAAAAAATTATTAAATATTTTCTTGTACATCTTTGGATTGTGTATCAAACAGCATCTAATTGTTTTCTAATTTACACAATTCACAAAGAAAAAATGCCAGTATGAGTGCACACATGTATGCCAATACATATATGTATGTGTGTGTGTGTGTGTGTGTGTGTGTGTTTAGGCTAATTTAGTTTATCCTCAGAAATCAGTATTTGCATATGCTTATCTTAGATGTCAATGAAGCATTACATGTCAAAATAATGTGCATTAATTTGAAGAAAAATTTGACCTCATGCTTTTGCAAATAAAGGTTTACCTATGATGAGTGTAAATTCTAGCGTATTCCATAACCAAATCTACCTTATGATCAGTAATACAATTTCCATCATAACCATTTGTGTTACTGTATTTTGACACTACAAATGTGAAAGTTCTCTATTTTCTTTGTTTCACTAAAATATGACTGAATTAAATTGTGCCATTTTAAAGGCAGCTAATATTTTAGTTAGTATAATATTACCTCTAAATCCAGAGTTTAAGTCTTTTGCCCATTCCTAGTTTAATGTTTATGGTTTGATCAAAGAACAAGCAACTTCATTATCTAACCTATGATATACATTATTACTGTGCCCACATATGAAAGTGTTTTCTGAATAACCTTTGAAGACAAAAAGCAAAATGGATGGAATAATATCATGGTATATGTTAGCAGATATAATTAGCATATGATATATTTTCATTTTTACTTAATAACTTTTAAATAGACTTTGATTTTTCTTGGATTCTTCAAAAGGCAAAAAGATTTATTCCAGAGGAAAAATTCCTAAGAGTCAATGTTTGGTTGTTGTTACAGAAGAAAAGCAACTTAAATCCAAATGTTAAGGCACCTTCTCCAAACTACATAATTCAAATAAAACTGGTTAAAATAAATCTGGAGTAAACGATAAAAATAAGTGTTTGTTTGAATATCTACTATGCATAAAAATTATTCGTTTGCAATGACACATGGGTAATCCTGCCTTTTGGAATATAATGAACCCCTCAATGATCCTTAAATCTCTTTAAATTATATTCTTGCTATGTAACTTTTCCTTACATATACTTGATTTTAATGGTTCACTTTCAACATAACACTCACAGTATTCCCATGTTAATAAAACAATCTTACCAACATACTGAATTTAATGTCAGAAACCCTGTCATCTCAAATAACATCTGCCTTTTTCCCTCAAGAATAAATATTTTGTACAATTTCTCTCATTTTTTTCTTCATTTATTTTCCCAGATATTTTGGAATACCATATTTATTATTCAACACATCTGCCATTAATAATTTTTGGTACTTTTCAGCTGTATCACTGGAATAATTAGATTAAAGCATAACATATCTGGATTTTAACTAATAAATAAATACTCAAACATTGCATATAACCCCTATGCAAATAATCAGAGCAGAGCAAGGACATGTGTGGAGTATTGGGACTTTGCAATTTCACACTAATAAACATAGGAATCAATTCAGCGATGAGCATTTAAAATGTCACGGTGATATATTTTGAAAGGTACAATATAAACTCATCTCCAGCCACTAACTTACCCAAGACTGTGAGCTCTGCAGAGGCACTAATATTCTCATTTTTATATGTGACAACACAGGTATACATTCCGCTGTCATCATCTGTCACGTTGGAGATAAGCAAGTTGCTCCCACCCAATAAAGAATACTTTTTAGACCTGCAAGACATAGGGTAGGTAAAGAGTAAATTAACACATGTATATATTAAGCAAGATACTCAGAGCTTTAAATGACCTCCACCAAAGCTCAGACTAAGACACTGGAAAGAAACTCTGTATCATAGGGGCTTGATTAAAGTCTCACTTATTTATCAAAAAAATTCACTCAAGGTAAACTACTCCCATTGGAAGATTGTGTGTAGTGATCAAACAAATGAAGCAGATTAAACTTGAAAGTAGCTTTAGTGCTAAAAACTGATAATCTAGTCCTAATCTCTCATTTTGGATTTGAGAACCTCAAGGTCTAGAGAAGCGGTCCTCTGGAGTGAAAAATCAACGTCCTGTGCCCTGAAATCCAATTAGTGATCTTTGTGCAAAACCATATTTGCTATTGCACGAAGAGTGCTTGGCTATACCCAGAGAACACACCTTGATGTGCTGAAACTGTAACTGGATTTCCTGTGTATTCTAATGTTCTCAAAAATATTGTAATATCAAACACCATGCCTTGTTGTTATCTAAATATTTAAGGTAAATGAAATTTAAAGATTAATTCATGATTTGATGGACTTACCTTTTCTTTAAAAATAAGTATGTTTAAAAGGAGAATACCAGTCCTCAAAAATCAGTGAAATTAAGTAAGATCCATTTCATCAGAAGCACTAAGTATTCCATTCTATTGAGAGTTTACTTTCTAACTGTACCTAATATTAATGTTCCAGCAATTCAAAGCCAGCCAAGTTCTCCTCTCTTCCCTTAAATATTTGTTAGAGCTCGAAATATGAGCAATATAGTTGAAGTTCAAAAAAAATTGCTGAAACTCTGTAAAGACATGCTACATATTTGAACTCAGAAAAATTTAGTTTTATTTTTCTCCTTAGTTTTATTGAAGTGAAATTGACAAATAAAACTTGCATATAATAACAGTGTAGACTGTAATGTTTTGGAATATGTATACATTGTGAAATGATTATCACAATTGAACTGATGATCATATCCATCACTTCATGTAGTCATCTTTTGTGTGTGACACAGAATATTAAGGATCAAACCTCGCTATATACCACTTTCTTATAATGGAATCCACCAAAATTTCTCTGCTGAAGACTCTTTGGGCAGGACCATCTCAGAGGCAACCCTGACTTTCTCAGTTTCCTTTCAGAATTGATCTCATGGATTTTGATATTTTCCTCATCTTCTCATCCCAGTGGCTGTCTTTCATATACTGTATCACGCCAAGAAATGTGGAAAAATATTCAATTATTATGAAAAACCCTAATACTGTAGGTACTTATATCAAATTAGAGAAATATAAATAGCAGCATATACTAATACAAAAGTACACAGTACAAAAAAGTCTTAAATGTGAAATACCTGAGTTGGATGACTTCCTCGCCTCGTAACCAGGTAAAACTTGGCGGAGGATAGCCAGAAACACAACATTCCAGGACAGCATCTTTTCCTTCAATGGCTACTACATTGGATGGTCTTTGCAGAAAATACAGCTGTCTGTGCAGTCCTGGATCTATGAGAGGAAAACACAGTATCACATAATGTATGAAAAACATTGCAAAGATAAATGGTATACTTTGATTTTTTTTCCTAACCAGACAAAAGATGAAGAAAGAAAAATGGAAAGATGTCAATGAAATTTGCAAACTCCTAAAACAGTTTTTTTCATCCCAAGTTTATAGGATTATGGTATTGAAATATTCTTAGCCGTAGATGATGTCATGATATAGGGCATCAGCTTGAGGCTATTCACGTATCTGAGGTTACCTATAAGTAAGCAGGCCTTGTTTACTTATCGGCATTGGAGAATAGAAAAATGTCAATAGCTTTTCTAAATGTTATTATCCAAAACTTTTTGATATGTTCAGTTTGCCTACCACCAATATCTATTCTACTTTCTTCTACATTGTTTATTGCTTCTGTGGCTCGGAAAATAAGAGAAACAGATTAGAATCTGACATATTCAAATTGTGTTAAATAGCATACAGGTACTGAGGATTAGAATACACAGGTGCTGAGAAAATAACTGCTTTCTGAGCCTGAAGCAAGGGGATAGAAAAAGATGGCACAATCATGGGGTAAATATGCTCAGTTATAAGAGATAAAAGCCAAATAATGAATTAGAGAAAAATATATATTTAAAGAACAAACAAACCCACGTAAGGACATTGCAAAGAGCAGGCTAGAAATATAAGAAGATACCTAGGAAATGGTAATTCTTAAAGATGCAGGGAAGACAGATTTGAGGAAAGAATGAAAAGTTTCGTACTACAAAGAGGTTAAGCAAAATGTAATAGACTCCAAGTAAGGAAATAGTCTAATTATTCATCCATCCCTATATCCATGGTCTTTGTAATTTTGCAATTCCATCTGTAAAGAGGTGAACTCTTTCTCCCTACTTCTTGTTGTTACTTGCTTCCACCAATTAAATACAGCGGAAATGAAAAAAAAAAAGAAAATAACTGCTTTCTTAGAAAAGGAATTTACATTTGTATAACTTGAGTTGGTTTATTTTATAACTAATCTGACTGTCTGGCTTGTTTATTTTTAATTTTCACAACATTTGAAAGAGTTTTCCCCTAGAGCTGAGACCCTGGGTCAGTGAAGGGCTCTGCACCCTTCTACTTCATCTGATGCATTTACTAGTTCTATATATGGAACATTATTCACTTTCACTAGCAGATAACTGAAACAGTGTTTATGCAACCTAGGAACTCTTTTGATTAAATCCTTAAATACATTTCATCCAAAGTTGCTAAGATTGTATCAGGTGGAATAAAGGAAAAATTCACAAAGTTCTAAGCCCAGAATGCAATGTTCAGGTAGGCTTGCTGAAAGTTAAGAGCTTCTATTTCCCCTTCTATATAAGCTCTACTAATAATGCCTGAGGACACACCAACACCAGTCCTTAGAGGAGGGTATTCTACCCATGGCAGTGTCCTCTGACCAGACCTGTGGACTAAAATCATGTCACTCAAAGTTTATTTGAGACAAGATACTGTGTTTTCAAGTACCCATTAAAATTCACGTCTCCTGAGGAAGGCTTAATTGAAGCCATCTTCAACCTAATTCATTCAGTGGGATTATCCTGTAATCTGTCATTTTGCAGAATCAAAGCAAAATCTGGATGCAAAGAAAATGAGGCAACGAAATCTTTTGAACTAGGATTGGGGTGAGGAGAATCGCTGAGGGAGGATAGACCCAATGGGGTCATAGCATGAGCTGCTGGTGATCAGAGAGGATATAAAGTGGGAGGGGACGTAGGACACATTTGACATTATCCTTAGTTTTCATCAGCCTGACCCAACTCCACACAGGTGAATCACAAGGTGAATCACAGGGTAATAAAAGACACCTATTCTCAAGCTAGTAGTTGGGACAGTAATTGTTACCTAAAGTATTCTTTGTGTGGAGAGAGAAAATTTCACACTTTCTCAGTCTTCCCACATTTGCTTCTGGTTGTTCCAGCAACAAAAATATATACTCTTCACAATGAAAATATTGAGAGCATTTTCCAAATAGGTTCATCTTTATTATATCAATATTGTAGAAAAATCTCTCAGAACTTTTGAAAATTGCTGATGGTATGCTCCATTTCCTTTCTTCAAAGTGACTTTTCAAATCTCTCAAATATGGTTTGAAAGACAATACAGCTTATTGATAAATTTCCTGAACAGGAAAGTTCCCAAAATTTGTATTTACAAATAGTTGTCTTGATATTAGAGGCCTATGCATTTTAATATTTTACTTTCACCACCTGCTCCTCAGTAGAAATGTTTCTACAACTTATACTACACAATATAGTTTTACAATATCCCCTGTGAAAAACATCAAGATCTACTTAATCTTCTAGCTTAAATAAAAATTACCTGGGACCTATCAACAATGCTACTAATTTACCCATGGAAGAGACACTTTTTTCTTTTTTATTTATTTATTTATTATTTATTTATTTATTTATTTATTTATTTATTTTGAGATGGAGCCTCTCTGTCACCCAGGCTGGAGTGTAGTGGTGCCATCTCAGCTCACTGCAACTTCCACCTCCTGGGTTCAAGTGATTCTCCTGCCTCAGCCTCTCAAATAGCTGGGTTAACAGGCATGCTCCACCATACCTGGCTCACTTTGGTATTTTTAGTAGAGATGGAGTTTCACCATGTTGGCCAGGCTGGTCTCGAACTCCTCATCTCAGGTGATCTGCCCGCCTTGGCCTCCCAAAGTGCTGGGATTACAGGTGTGAGCCACCATGTCCAGCTGACATTTTCTACTCAAACTATTTTACTTCATCAGAAAACAAAATCATGCAACACAAAATGGTTATTTAATATTTTATTTAAAATTTTTTATTTACTAAACAGTTGAACAGACAGATAGTTCAGAGAATTGTCATATATCAGGTCCCCATCCGTTGCAATGCAGTTTCTCCTATTATAAACATCTTACACTAGTGTGTTATATTTGTTACAATTCATGAACCAATATTAATATATTATCATTAACTGAAGTCCATAGCTGCCATTCTGGTTTGTCCTTTACTTTTCATAATTCTATGGGCTTGACAAATGCATGTCATATCATTTGAAATAATCTCAGCATCCTAAAAATCCCTGAGCTTCACCTATTCATCCCACCCCTGCCATCCCTACCAAACTCTAGGCAACCACTGATCATTTTACTATTTCTATAGTTGTACCTTTTCCATGATGTCGTATCACTAGAATCATAAAGTACATAGCCTTTTCAGACTGGCTTTTTTCACATAACAATATACATTTAAGATTCTTTCATGCGTTTCTGTGGCTTGATAGGTTGCTTATATTTATTGCTGGATAATATTCCATTGTATAGATGTACCAGAGTTTATCCACTCATCTTTTGAAGGATACACCTTGGTGGCTTCAAGTTTTTGGTGATTATAAACAAACCTGCTATAAACACTCAAGCGTACATTTTTATCAGGACACACATTTACAACTCAATTGACTAAATACCTTGGAGTGCAAGTGCTAGATTGTATGGTAAAACTGTTTAGCTTTGTGAGAAACTGCCAAACTGTCCTCTAAAGTGCTGTTCAATTTTTCGTTGCCACCAGCAAAAACAGTTCTACATCCTTGTCAGCATTTGCTATTGCCATTTTTTTTAATTTTAGCCATTCGAAAACATGTGTAATGGCATATAAATAGATGTTTTAACTTGCAATTCCCCAATGGACATATGATGTTACACATATTTTTATGTTTACTTTCCATTTTTATATCTTCCTTGATGAGGTGTCTGTTCAGATTTTTTATCTATTTTTAAATTGATTTCTTTCCTTATCATTGAGTTTTAATAATTTGTTGTTTGTGTCAGATTGAAGTCCTTGATCAGAAGTGTGTTTTGCAAAATTTTTTTCAATCTGTGGGTTGTTTTTTCAATCTGTGGGTTCTTTTAACAGTGTCTTTTGTAGAAGATACGTTTTTAATTTTAATAAAGTCCAACTTATCAACTTCTCCTTTCATGGGTTATTATTTAGTTGTTGTATCTAGAAATGCATTGCCAAATTTGCTTACCTATATTTTTCCTACATTATCTTCTAGAAGTTTTATAGTTTTGTGTTTGTATTTAGGTTTACAGTTCATTTTGAGTTAATCTTTGTGAAAGGTATGTCTGGATTCTTCTCTCTTTTTTTTTTTTTTTTTGATATGGACATTCAATTGTTCCAGCACCACTTGTTCAAAAGGCGATTTTTTTTCCCACTGAGTTGATTTTGCTCAAAGATCAACTGACTGTATTTGTCTGGGTCTATTCTGGGGAGTTCTCCTCTATTCCATTGATCTATTATTTTGCCCATATCACACTATCTCAACTGTTGTAATGTTATAGTAAGTCTTGAAATCAGGTAGTGTCCACCCTTCAACTTTGTTCTTCTTATTCAGTATTGTGCTCACTATTCTGGGTCTTTTGTCTTTGCATGAAACTTTTAGATTCATTTTGTTTAAATTAAGAAAATTACTTACCAATATTTAATCTTTGTTTTAAAATATCAGTGATCTAAGCATCACGGGCTTATACAGCCAAAAAAGAACCACCTACATTTCCATTTTCAGATGGAGCATATATGGTGCAGATTACTCCAATCTTGACTTGGCTCATTTCAGTGACGTTTGTTACCATTGTGGCTTCATAGGCATTGGAATTTGTGACATTCATTATACGAAAATGTCAGCTTTTGACAGAAAAACATGATTTTATTTCCCCAAGGTATTTCTTTGTATCATTTAATAAGTTCTAACACTAAGAAAGTTCCCCCCAAAAGTAATATAATTTTTCATTAATAGTAAGTAGTTCATGTATTTTACAACATCGTGCTAGATGAATGATCAATAAATGTTTTCATATTCTCTAATCCAGAAGGGAGGATTTTTACTCTTTTTGTAAGTCAGGCCTGACCTCATATCTTGCTTTGACTGGTAGATTGTGGTGAAAGCCACACTGCATGAGCTCTGCAGCCAAGGTCTCAAAAGGCCTTAC